TTTTCATAACAAATTTTAAAAAAGAAACATAATTTCTTAAGATCAAATATTCACTCAGTTTCTAGTTTATACTGTTTGATTGAATCAAAATCCAAATATGATTTACTTACTTATTGAAATTGGTTGTTAGGTCTTCTGGCCTCCCTTATTCTATATTCTCTCTCTCTGAAATTGAGTCTTTTATTATGGGGTTTTCCACTGTTTGATTTATTTATTATATACCCATGGTGTAGTTTTTTTTTTTTTTTTTTTTTATCCTCACCCGAGGACATTTTTCCATTTTTTGTTCAGACAGAGCGGGAGGGAGAGAGAGGAAGAGAGAGAGAGAGAAACATCGATGTGAAGGGACACATCGAGTGGCTGCCACCCACACGACCAACCAGGGCTGGGGACAAACTGCAACTGAGGTACGTGCCCTTAGCGGGAACTGAACCCGGGTCTCTCTGTACCGCAGGCCGACGCTCTAACCGCTGAGCCAAACTGGCCAGGGCCCCATGGTGTAGTTTATTTAACCTGTTCCTCTAGATGGAAGTTGAATCCAGAGGCTTGATCAGCTTTTAAGTTCAGTTTGGAGGGCAAGATTATTTAGTTGTGTTCTCCTATCAGGAGTCAGTGATGTCTGGTTGTTTCTTTTTGAGGGAGTCTAGCAGTCATTGATCAATGCCTAGCTTGGTCAGTTCATTAGAGGTGGCAAAGTGGTTATATTCTGATTCCAGCTTCTTCATTTGTTGGCTAGAATAGTTCTATAAAGAAAAACATCTCATCTACTGTTTACTTGGAGCAGCGGATCTCAACCTGTGGGTCACGACCCCTTTGAGGGTCGAACGACCGTTTCATCACAGGGGTCGCCTAAGACAACAGTAGCAAAATTACAGTTATGAAGTAGTAACGAAAATAATTTTATGGTTGGGGGGTCACCACAACATGAGGAACTGTATTAAAGGGTCGCGGCATTAGGAAGGTTGAGAACCACTGACTTAGAGGTATAGGAAAGGTTTGTGATAAATGCTAGATTCATCCCTTTAAAAAAATTTTTTTTCCCTTTATTGATATTTAGAGAGAGAAAGGAAGGGAGAGATAGACAGAAACATTGATGAGAGAGAACATCAATTGACTGCCTCCTGCATGCCCCCCACTGGGGATTTGGCCCACAACCTGGGCATGTGCCCTGACCGGGAATCCAACCAGTGACCTCTTGGTGCGTGGGTCAACACTTAACCACTGAGCCACACCGGCCGGGCTGGATTCATCCCTTTAAAGTTAATCTTTTTTTTTTTTTTTTTTTTTTTTTAATCCTCACCAGAGGACATTTTTCCATTTTTTGTTCAGGTAGAGTGGGAGGGAGAGAGAGGAACAGAGAGAGAGAGAGAAACATCGATGTGAAAGGAACACATCGAGTGGCTGCCACCCGCACAACCGACCAGGGCCGGGGACAAACTGCAACCGAGGTACATGCCCTTAGCGGGAACCGAACCCGGGTCTCTCCGGACCGCAGGCCGACGCTCTAACCGCTGAGCCAAACCGGCCAGGGCTAAAGTTAATCTTTTTTGATGCTAAATTGTCCTACCTTTGGCCAATGGGAGACTTTTCAAGTTGGCTTCAAGTCCTTTGACACAATTTTCAGTCTTTGATAGTTTGCTTGGTATCTAGTATCTAATATACAGATTGTATATTTCAGCGTTTCTCCAAGGAGACCATACTCTGGGTCCTGGGAATGTGCATTGTTAGAAAGTGGTTTTTGTTTCTGTGCCTTTTGAGAGTTTAGAGCTAGCAAATATATAAAAGTGTGTGTGTGTGTGTGTTCGTATTTCCCCCACAAGTTAAAAAAATCATCCTGAATTCACACCAATATTTTTATTCAGGATTGCAGAAAATGTGTGCATGTGTTTTAATCAGCTTTATTGATATATAATGTACATATAATAAATTGACCTATTTTAAAGGTACAAATACAGATTTTGGCAAATGTGTAACCACCACCACAATGACAATATAGAACATTTCCATCACTGGAAAAAGTCCTCTCATGCCCCTTTAGGACAATAGGGTTTTTACTTAACCTCTTCTGTCATACATCTATATCTTCTCTCCAAGAATCCCAGTTCTCCAATTAAAATTGTTCAGAAAGCCCAGCCAGTGTGGCTCAGTGGTGAGCATTGACCTATGCATCAAAAGGTTGCCGGTTCAATTCCCGGTCAGGACACATGCCCAAGTTGTGGGCCCAATCCCCAGTGGGAGGCATGCAGGAGGTGGCCAGTCCCTGTTCTGTCTTATCAATGTTTCTATCTCTCTCTCCCTCTCCCTTCCTCTCTCTCTAAAAAGGGTAGAGAAAAAAAAATAAAGAAAAAATTAAAAAAATAAAATTGTTCAGAGATAATTCATATTTCCTTTCAAATTGATTATTACCCAAGATCTTTTGGGGGATAATCTTCTAGAAGGAGCAGTATGTTGTTTCCAGTTATTTTAAAATGCCAGTTAATTTTTGGTAAAGGACAATAGAGGATCTTAGCTTAATTGTCTGGCTTTAAACAGTATTAACACAACATTAACAGAAACAGTAACTGCTTTTCAGGTACAGTCTTTCACCTTTTCTGGTTCTCAAATATGCATAAAAAGCAGTGTCGAAAATAGGCTTTTAGCATTGAAAACTGACATAGCGTCTTTGTATGTACAGAAATTTTTTTTAGTTGAAGCCAATCGCTAAAAAATTAGAGGGCAGGGTATATTCACACCACTGAGCTGAAGAAAGCGCTAATTTTTTTCTGTAGTTTTAAATACATATATTTTTTAGTCAGATTTAAAAATTTAAGCTCTATAAAGGGTAAATATATTCTGCTATTACTGGGTGTGTACGTGGCCACTCAGGCACTTTGTGAGGAAATTAGGGTATTTCAGAACGGTACACTGTGCATTGAAATGAAATGTGCCTTTAACTATGTCATTCGAACAAAAAGTGTTTTGCTGTAATAAATGACCACAAATGCACACATTAAAGTTTCAATAGATTGTAATTTCTGAAACAAAAACAGATCCCAGTTCGCAAGCACCCCGAGGAGCACAGATCGCTGTGCCTCGCGTGCCCACCGTGCCTCGCGTGCCCGCTGTGCCTCGCGTGCCCGCCTGCTTCGTCTCATCAGAACCACAGCAGTCTCCATCGGAAGACCAGCGTCACCGCCGGCTCTCTACTCAGATGGAAAATTTTTATTTTTGCAGTGTGGGGTTCGCTACTTAGTTTTTCTTTAATTCCTCACCTGAAGATATTTTTCTACTTATTATCAGATAGAGTGGGAGGGAGGGAAAGAGAGAGAGGAGAGAAACAGCAACGTGATAGAGCCACATTAACTGGCTGCCTCCCGCACGGCCCCTACCAGGGACAAACGGCAACTGAGGCACGTGCCCTTGACTGGAACCGAACCCGTGACTCATTGGTCCACAGGCCAACGCTCTAACCGCTGAGCCAAATTGGCCAGGGCTCACTACTGTACTTAGTTTTAATATAGCTGTGAGAAATTAAGTTTATTTTTATTTTTATTGTTAATCCTCATCTGAGTATATTTCTTCCATTGATTTTTTTTTTTTTTTAGAGAGGAAGGGAGGGATGGAGAGAGAGAGAGAGAGAGAAACATCAGTGTGAGAGAGACACATTGATTGGTTGCCTTCCACGTGTACCCCAACCAGAGCCAGGAATCGAACCTGCAACGCAGGTATCTGCCCTTGACCAGGAATTGAACCCTCAACTCTTCAGTACAGGTGCCGACGCTCTAACCGCTGAGCCACACTGGCCAGGGCAAAATTTGTTTTTTAAAAGTGATTTTTCTGAAGAAAAGCTCAGGCCTACCCACAGGTACCTTTATTCAGGCACTTCGTCTTAGGGACCTCAGCCTTCAGAGGAGGGTTGTATTCATGGTGTCTGATCAGACTGCTTTAGCAGGCAGCACACACAGAGCAGAACCGCTGTGGAAGATAACATGGCATTGCCTACTCAGACGGAGATAAACATACCCCACCCATTCCTACACATATTCAACATAAGTGCATGCTCATGGGAACCAGGAGACCTGTCCTTAGCCTAACAGTAGTCAGAGCCCCATTCTTTGTAACCACCTCAAACTAAAAACCACCCAAATGTCCCATGAGAGAGGAGTTAAGCTGGAGAGATGGGGTTGTGACTGAGGAGGTCTGCAGAGGATTTCTGGGCTGCTGCTGCTATTTCATCACTAATGTTCACTTGATATACTTTATTAAGCTACATATATATTTTTATGCATTTCCATATATTGTGTGCTCTACTTCACGACAAAAAATGTTTAAAGAATTGGTGGGTTTGAACAAGAACTAAAGTGCTTCTGCAGCCGCAGCCACTGAGGAACAATGGTCATGGCTCTGCGCTACTCGATGGCCGTGGCCCTCAACAAGGGCCACAAGGGTGCATGGAAGGCCTTACCTCGGACTCTGCTTTCAGGGCTGGCCCAGGATAAGATAGTGTACCTGCCCTTGACTAGGAATTGAACCCTCAACTCTTCAGTACAGGTGCCAATAAAATAGTGTATTTGAAGGTACTAGAAAACAGCACTGGGAAATCGCCCCCTGGGTGCATGGCAAGGACTCCGTTGTGGGTGGTCAGGGGAGTGGTGCTAACCCTTACACACCACAGCTTCACAATTACTAAGACTTTCCACCGCAGAGGTAGGTAATGAGCGCTGGGTTCCAGCACTTGGAAGACATGGCAATGGTAATTATATGGACTGCGGAGTTGGTTGGCTTTTACTAACTGCTTCAGAAGCTTTGCAAGGGGAAAATGAGAGGCTGTCGATTGAGGGCACGCTGTGAAACCCAGCGGCATCCTTCACTTCAAGACCTTGAAAGATCTTTAAAAAAAAATTGTTTTTTCTTCCATTGATGTTAGCGAGAGAGGAAGGGAGAGGGAGATAGAAACATCGATGAGAGACAACATTGACTGGCTGCCTCCTGCATGCTCCCCACTGGGGGTTGGGCCCACAATCTGGGCATGTGCCCTGACCGGGAATTGAACTGGTGACCTCTTGGTGTAGGTCGACACTCAACCACTGAGCCACACCGGCCAAGCAGACCCTGAAAGATTTTAATAGGATTTAATCCATCACTAGTATAGTTGCTCATTTGCTAGCCCCTCCCTGTCCCTTGTGTTGGTTTGTTTTCTATTTCCCTCTCACTGGGCTCTCCTGCTCCCTGGGATCACCTCCCATATGAACAACCAGCACCCAAGTTCTTGTCTCAGCTCTGCTTTTAGGAAGGAGCTCAGGTTAAGACATGAAGAAGCCAGGGGTGACCCAATCACCAAGTGTATGACGTCAAAGACTTCAAAGTTTCTAAGGGGAGCAGCCCACCAGTATGACTCAGAGTAAACATCATCATACTACAAAGAGCTAGCTTTTTTTGAGCTTATTATATGCCTGGCCCTGCTCCAAACCCTTTACATTCGTCCCCTGAATTAACTCTCACAGCAGCTCTGTGGCATAGGTGTTATTTCTCTCTCATTTGTCCCCTGTAGTAGGCTGAATACCAGCTCCCCAAAATCATACGTCCACGTCCTAACTCCTGGAAGCTGTGTATATCACCTTATTTGGTAAAAGGGGCTTTGCAGATGATATTAGGTTTAGGATCTTGAGATATGGTCATCCTGGATTATCCAGGTGGTTCCTAAATCTTTGACCGGCAGAGGAAGAGAGGGCTGTGTGAAGCCAGAGGCAGAGGTTGGGGTGATGCTGCCACGAGGAACAGGAAGAAGCAGGACGGATTCTCCCACAGAGCCTTTGGAGGGAGTGTGGGCCTGCTGACACCTTGCTTTTGGATTTCTGGCCTCCAGAACTGTGAGAAAAGAAGTTTCTATTGTTTTAATCCACCAGTTGATGATACTTTGTTACCACCATCCCACAAAACTAATCCATTCTCTTCTCTCCTGCAACCTAACTCTGGGCTGTTCCCTCCACCGAACACGGAGGGGAAATGCAGCCCCTACAGGGCACGCCTTTGACATCAGCTCACTCTTGAGGACTGAGAAAGTCCGTGAAAATCAATATAAATGTTTTTGCAGCCTCCCCAAATCGGAGAGCAAATTTTAATGGCAATGAATAATATATGTGTACTCGTCGAGTAAGCTTGCCGGCCTCTCATGGTGACTGCAGGCCCTGTTTCCTTCAGACACATCTTCAAGGTCACCGCTTCTTGTTTTAGAATTTAGGCATGGTGTTTGCTTTGTGTTCTTCTGAATCTTCAGTGGCACAGGGACAGGGAGACGGGAAAGATGACTTGTGAAAAGCGCAGTGGTCAAACAGTTATTTCTTTTTTTAAATGATGTGGAAATAGGGAGAATGGTCCGTGCCCAAAAATAGCTAAAGCATTTAAAAACTGTCACCACCTGACAAAGTTGTTGTCTGACGACAGGATTGGCAGTGCCTGACTATGCCAAAGGAACAGTGTTTCATCAGGGGGAAAAAAAAAAGTGATTCACTTTAGGTAACCAGGAGAGACATTTTAAAGTCAATCAAGTTTGCTTTGTCTTCATGTCAATCAGCTTTGTAAAAAGTATCTTGCCTTGAGGTGTAGTTTGTATCTTTAAATTTCACAAGTTGAGTTCAGCATAGACACATCGAGCTTTATCATCATTATAGGCTTCTGAAATATAAAAGAGGAAATAATTTAGTAAACTTAGAATATACATTCATAGAGTTGCTAAAAAAACATCCTATTTTAGTAGCCGGGTGGACTGACAGAACCAAGTCCTGGACTATCTCAAGTAATTTATTCTTTAAAAAATAATTTTTAAAAGTTTTTCTTTTTTTTTTAATCCTCACCCGAGGATTTTTTGTTCAGATAGAGTGGGAGGGAGAGAAAGAGAGAAACATCAGCATGAAAGGGACACATCGAGTGGTTGCTACCCACACGGCCCAATCCAGGGCCGGGGACAAACTGCAACCGAGGTACATGCCCTTAGCGGGAACCGAACCCGGGTCTCTCTGGACCACAGGCCGATGCTCTAACCGCTGAGCCAAACCGGCCAGGGCTAAAAAGTTTTTCAATTGCATTTTGCATTCAACATTAGTTTGTACTAGTTTCAGGTGTACAGCATACAGGTTAGGCAATCATACACTTTTATAAAGTGTTCCCCCCGATATTTCCAGTGCCCACCTGACACCATATATAGTTATTACAATATTACTGACTATATTCCCTACGCCGTACCTTACAGCTCCATGACTATTTTGTAACTACCAATTTGCACTTCCTAATCCCTTCACCATTTCTCAAGTAATTCTTGAAAATGTCTTAGAAGTGTCCCTGCACCCTCCTCTCTGGATGTTTTATATGATAATCTCCCTGCCCCATCCTTCCCTCTTCCCCACCCACCCATCTGATAGATTTGTTAGGAGCCGTGGTATTGGTTACTCTTTGTCTCCTGGGTGTGCATGTTGTCCCCAACCATCCCATTCTTGGGCTCCTGAAGCCCTGGAGTATGGTGGTCACGCCTCATTCAGTAGCATCTCTTGCCAGGCTGATGTAGCTCAGTGGTTGAGCATGGACCCATGCACCAAGAGGTCACCGGTTCAATTCCCGGTCAGGACACATGCCCAGGTTGTGAGCCCGATCCCCAGTGGGGGGTATGCTGGAGGAGGCCAATCAATGTTCTCTCATCAATCAATGTTCTCTCTCATCAACCTCTCCCTTCCTCTCTAAAATCAATAAGAAGAAAATATTAAAAACAAATAGCATCTTTTATTCCAAACTGTGGCTTACCATGATCTCTCGGTGTCACCTTCCGGAACATGGGGTTGGAATAGTGTATTTCCTGAGAGTGTTTGGTTTCTGGGAAAAAGACAAGGAACAGAGTTATTGGGCCTGTAAACCGACTCTCTGATCACCTGAGAGCAGTGGCTGGTCTGGCCGCCCCCGCAATGGCATGTAGCCTCTGGACTTTGCAGAGCGTGCTTACCATCTTGGGCTGAGGAGACACAGTGCCTTGGTTCCAAGCTTGGCATAGACTCCTCATCTGTAAAATGGAAACGACATCAGTTGGGAGTTGGTGCTGTTTCTGCTGCACAGGGCAGGTACATTGCTTAGCATTGCGCCTGGAACACGGCTGGCCCTCAGTGTTGACTGGGATTATTCTTGTTGGCCAAGGCTGTGGGTCTGTTTACCAGAAAGCGGCGTATGATGCCCACTTTAAGAGATGATTATAAAGGGCTTTGGGACACAGTGAGGATCATTCCAAACTGACAAAAAATTTTTTTCTGAGATATACTGTTAAGTGAATAAAAAATTGAGATGTAGAATAGCCTGTTTCTGGGACATGCTGCCACAGCTACCATTGTTTAGATGTCAGCATGTGCACAGACTGTCTGTGGAAGGGTTGTGCTTGGAAAGTGGGCCTGGGTATCAGGGGTGGGATGGAAACACTGCACTTGTGTGTCTGTACGACCTTAAAAAAAAAAGATGAAAACCTAAAACCAAGCAACCCAGTCAATCAAAATACCCAACAAAGTTCTCTTACCTGCTTGCTTTGTATGGACATTTGCATATATTCCAACTTCAGTGGATGTATTTCCATAGTCTCTCGGTGTCTTATCTCTCATAGCTTTTCCTATATAAACTAGTATAGAATTAATGACATTAAACCAATTCAGCCACGTTTTTCTCATCTCCTCTGCCAAGGAGAAGAATTCCCCGAAGTTCTGAAACAAAGAGTAAGCTGCTCCAATAGCCTAAACTGTTGTCTGTTGAAGGGAAACCATGGACTCAGCAAAGAGTCCATAGCACCCGCTTCTCCAAGCCAGGAGCCCTCCTGACTTATTTACCCAACTCTGCAAGTGACATCCTTTGTCTATCCGATTACACTTGAGATGGCCAGAGACACATTTTCTTTCCTTTGCTGAAAAGAACAGTCTGTTGCCCTGGCTGGTTTGGCTCAGCAGTAGAGCATCAGCCCATGAACCAGTGAGTCCTGGGTTCAATTCCAGCCAAGGGCATATACCTTGGTTTCAGTTTGTCCCTGGCCCTGGTTGGGGTCGTGTGGGAACAACCAGTTGGATGTGTCTCTCTCACATCAATATTTCTCTCTCTCTCTCTCTCTCTCTCTCTCTCTCTGTCCCTGCCTCTCCCTCTCTCTCTCTACCTGATGATAAAAAGAAAAATATCCTCAGGTGAGGATTAAAAAAAAAAAGAACAACCTGTCAAAAGCTTTGTAATATCTGCAAGAGATAGTAAATTACCTAGCTGAGTTCTCTTTGGCCGTAGCCGGTACTCAAGAATATTAATTCCACTTTTGCAAAACCCTGGGATTTTTGTAGGAAGGGAGACAAATTTTAAAAAGGTATGAGATGGCCCTAGCTCGTTTGGCTCAGCGGTTGGAGCGTCAGCCCGCAGTCCAGAGAGACCCGGGTTCAGTTCCCGCTAAGGGCACGTATCTCGGTTGCAGTTTGCCCCCCGCCCTGGTTAGTCGTGCGGGTGGCAACCACTCGATGTGTCGTCCCTTTCACATCAGTGCTTCTCTCTCTCTCTCCCTCCCACTCTGTCTGAACAAAAAAATGGAAACATGTCCTCGGGTAAGGATAAAAAAAGTTATGAGATGGTCTGGCCAGTGTGGCTCAGTGGTTGAGCGTCAACCCATGCACCAAGAGGTCGCCAGTTCGATTCCCGGTCAGGGCACATGCCCAGGTTGTGGGCCTGATCTCCAGTGGGGGGCATGGAGGAGGCTGCCAGTCAATGTTCTCTCTCATCAATGTTTCCATTTTTCTCTCCCTCTCCCTTCTTATCTTTCTAAAATCAATAAAGAAAAAATAAGGTGTGAGATGTCTGCCTTGGCCAGGTGGCTCAGTTGGTTGGAGCCTTGTCCAAAAGGTTGTGGGGTCAATTCCTGGTCAGGCATGTACTGGAGGCAACCAGACAATGTTTTTTTTCCCTCTCTCTCTCAAGTGAAAAAAAGAAAAAGAAAAAGAAAAAGCATATCCTCAGGTGAGTATAAAAAAAAAGTATGAGGTGTGAGGTGTGGTGTGTGCAAAAAAGAAAATAATGTATGAGATGTAAATTTTGACATCAGTTTTCAAGTTTCATGCCAACTGAGTCCCCGACTTCTCTGAATTATATCTCTCCAGAGATGGCGCAGGAGGCACAGTAGCCTAACATCTGTCACTTAATTCTCCCCAGCTGTGGCAGCTTCTGATGACCCCATTCTACAGATCAGAATGCTGAGGCTCAGGCAGGTTCACTGGTGGGTACCAGTGCTGAGACACAAACTATCTTCTGTGCAAATGTTGATATGCCTCCATACCTGTGTGCCAAATGAAAAGGCCATTTTGAAATCTTAAGTGGAGGTGGCCATAAGAAACGGACAGCGGAAGCAGCTACTAGGGATTGACACGGCACTAAAGGTGGGGCAGAGAAGAAGGCCCGTGTTTGTCTGCATGTACCTGGCGTCCTCTGAGTGGCAGACCCAGCAAGGGTGCAGAAAAATACAAGGCAAAGGCCTTGCCTTTGAGGAGCTGCAATCAGGGCTCAGGGCCAAGTGAAAACGCGGGGCCTCTTGTTAAAAATTATTAATATTTGTATACCTATATTCATGGCACACTATTCACAATAGCCCCAAAGTGGAATAACCCAAGAGCACAACACGGATGTTGAGTCCATTTTGCCAAGTGACGTAAGCCAGTTACATAAGGACAAATTCTGTGTGATTCCATTTATATGAGGTCATCCCTAGAGTAGTCAAAATGATAGAGACAGAAAGCAGAACGGTGGTGGCCCGGGCTAGAAGGGGGAAGTGTCTGGGGAGTTAGTGTCTGATGGGGACAGAGTTTCCATCTTACAAGATGAAAGTGCTGCGGATGGATCGTGGGGATGGTTCACAAAGAGAATGCGCGATGCCACAGAACTGTATACTTAACAGCAGTCAAGATGGTACATTTTATCATATCTATTTTACTGCAATTTAAAAAGTAATTTTTTTTTTTTATCCTCACCCGAGGACATTTTTCCATTTTTTGTTCAGGTAGAGTGGGAGGGAGAGAGAGGAACAGAGAGAGAGAGAGAAACATCGATGCGAAAGAAACACATCAAGTGGCTGCCACCCGCACGACTGACTGACCAGAGGACCAGGGCCGGGGACAAACTGCAACCGAGGTACGTGCCCTTAGCGGAAACCGAACCCGGGTCTCTCAGGACCGCAGGCCGACGCTCCAACCGCTGAGCCAAACCGGCCAGGGCTAAAAAGTAATTTTAAAAAGTGAAAAAAGTATTAAGAATTTCAAGACAGTGACAGCAGCAGAGCATTAAACTGAGAGCGGGCTCTTCTTGGCCCAGGCCCCGGGTGACCGCACCCGCTGCAGGCCACCAGCAGTCGGAGTGAGCAAAGCTCGGACCGGAAACCACAGCAAGTCCACCCCATTCACCTTCCCCTTTCACAGCCTCTTCTCTTATTTCTTCACATCCATTTCTGATTCCCCTTTCTCTTCCTCCTCACCCTCTCCCCTGCTGTCTGTATCCAAAACCCGTGGAAAACAATGAAAAAAGCTCCCAAAGAACTTACTTGCTTTGTACTTTGGTAGCATCCAAAATGCCAGAATTAGGGTTACGCTCAGTACCAGTAATAACACTGGAAGCAGCAGCTGCAGGCAGAGCGGACAGCTGTGGCCACCTGGAAGAAGACAGCATCCACTGAGCACAGCTTTCATTCCCAATGACACTGAAGTGTGACGTGTTCTGGAAAGGGCAGTCACGGCTGTCTCCCAAGTTAACCCATGTGCTGTGCACCCTGGTCCTGTGCTGCTGTGGACACCTGCAGTGATTGAGAGTTAACTTCTCAGTCAGTGAAGTTCTTAAAGTCATGACCGAGTGCATCTTCCACAGGGGTCACACAACAAAGGGAAACGCAGCACAGCATTTAACAGATCGATTCGTGGCCACAATGTTAGGGTCATAAGCTTCAGAATGGCCTGGCCTTTTATTGGACAAAGCCCTTAGTCATGTTGGCATAACTTGTTGAGTATTAACTACATGCCAGACACTGTGTTAAGCATTACCTTATTTGCCTTATTCGTATCACTCCCATTTTGCAAATGAGTATAGTAAGGCTCAGAGAGGTTCAGTGACTTTCTTAAGGTCACACAGCTAATAAGTGGAAGGGCTGTGATTTGTGGGCAAAAGCCTGATCCTGGAGCCTGACTCCCACAGACTGCCTCACTTGTTGGGACTTACCACCATCCTCATCTTCTGAGGATGAGGCCAGGTGAAGTGTTCAATGCCCAGGTATACATATTGTCTTTGCTAATCTAGCTTTTGTTCTATCATCCTATCTCGACCAATATCCCTTCAGAAGGAACTGGAAGACCAGGTTTGAGTCTAGAATTCTCAGACCCCTTGGATTTCTGCACTGGAACAAGGAGGCATTGGGGGGAGCCAGCCCCAGCTCTGGCCTGACCCCCTTCCCAGGCTCTCACCTGTACCCCAAGGGACATTGCATGCATGTGGACCCTCAGCCTGCCTGTCCAAATGCCATTCACACACCCCACAAAGCAGCTCCCTTACCTGGGGTCCAGGAATGCTTGGATCCTCACTGTGGTCCACCCTTGAGAGTATAAACTGGGAAAGAGACTTGTGTAGGCCCTGTTGGTGGGTTCTTATCTGATTGGGTAGGAAATTTGGGCCAGGTACGAAGAGTGTGGGATAGAGGGCCCAGGGGAGCCTATTTCTATGGCCCCCCAGGACTTCTTAGCCTGTGGGAATGTGGAAAGCTCCAGGGCACTGCCATCCAAAACACAGGGAAGAAACAGGGGCCCCTCTTGCCCCAAACTAAGGGTGGTATTGAAAGTCTAGACTCACCACGTGTTAGCAGTGAGGCAGTGAACAGCCAAGTAGGTGTTAGAAACAGCCAAAGAAGAGGCCTGGCAGCTCCCAGAGAGATGCAAATTCTAATGTGATTGCTTAGAACACGGGCAGTGGAAGGTCGAGGCAGGAAGTCTCATTACAAGATCCCTTCCTGCCACAGTGTCTAGGCTTTTCTATGTTTGTTTGTTTGTTTGTTTGTTTGTTTGTTTAATGACAGAAAGCAATCCCATCACAGTTTGTGTGGACCCTACCAAAGGAAAGGCACTTGGAAGCAAGTGGCCAAAGTGGAAAGTGGACAGGTTGAAGTTTCTGGAAGCAAATCCAGACCCTGTTGAAAGAGCTCAGGTAGCCCTTACCTGTTGAGGGCATGGTGACGGGATGACTGTATTTTGCACGGTCGGGCAGTCTGTTGTTAGCTTTACACTTATACTCTTCCCATCCTCCAGTGTTCTTCTGGATTAAAGTAAATTCAGCAGGTTCCCTTTTATACATGGAAATAACTGGTGACACAACGATGCCTTTTTCAAAGAAAGTGTAATTGATGGGCAGAGAGCCGTGGAACGAGATGCAGCGTAGGATTAGGTAATTGTTGGTTTGATTTTTAACAACAGTGATGTTCAGCACTGGAGTGGTCACCGGGTCTAGAAAAGTGAAAGTGCATGTTACAGGGGTAGGCAGATTGGCTTCACTCCTCAGTCAAACACGGATCAAACCCTTACTCTATTCCCTGGTGTGGCTCCAAAGATGAATGACACACCCTTCCTGAGAAGAATCAGAGTGCATATTGCCTTTCATCAGAATTCTTTTTATTATTATTTTTTTCTTTATTGATTTTTAAAGGGAGAGGGGGAGAGAGAGAGAAACATCGATGAGAGAGAACATTGATGGTCCGCCTCCTGCATGCCCCCCACTGGGGATTGGGCCCAAAACCTGGGCATGTGTCCTGACTGGGAATCAAACCAGTGACCTCTTGGTGCATGGGTTGACGCTCAACCACTGAGCCATATCAGCTGGGATCATCAAAATTCTTTCATCAGAATTTATAATCTCTTTATTGTTGATAATAAATCAAGAGATCTAGTTCCAAGTACGAAGATGAGAGGTGCTTTTATTCCCTATCCTTACAAGGTCATAGCGGGATTGTTTTTTAAATCAAGTCTAAAAATACCATCGTTTCCTCCAGCCAGTGTGGCTTCCTCTCTCTCTAAAGTCAATAAATAAATAAAAATACTATCTTTTCTAACTGTATTTTTATTTACAAGATTCTGCTGTATTTCCTCCCCAAAGAAGGAAGTAACCCTGATAAATAAATTCAAGAGAACTTCTCAACAGGAAATGTGTGGGTTTATTAGTTTATACCCTACTTCACGGGAGAATCCAGCTTTATGATTCATTAATAAAACAGTATTATAAGCAAGGAAGAATAGTTGTTGAATATTCATATTGTGCCAGGCCCACTACCCATGTTCTCTCATTTCATTTCACAATAGATCTACGATGTGGGTAGTATCACAACCCTTCCACAGAGGAGCCAATTGTGATTCAGAGAAGTTAAGACTTACCCAAGGTCACACAGTAAATGGCAGAGTTTAGGCCAATTTCCAAGTGGATTTTTTTACAATACCAATTTGGCACAGAAACAATGAAATACAAGGACCTAAGTATAAGTAAAATCAAAGAAAATAATTTGTTTCCTGGCTCCCCCCTCATCTGAGCAGAAATGCCTGCGGCAGCATCTTCGACAGAGCGCATCCAGCGACGGTGGCCCCAGAGAGCAGCTTTGTTTGGGAATAGCACCAGTAGGATGTTCTCCCTTTGGAACTGAAATCTATCTCCTGTAATTTTCAGGAAGGAGGAGTTGAAACATTTATGAGGAATCAGAGGGCACAAACTCCTCTCTGAGATGGGATGATGTAAACCGGACTAAGTATTAATATCTACAGTGACCGGAAAGATGTAAACTTTCCAGAGAGTTTGTACAGAACTAGTAAAGAGCATTACAGCAATATAGTAACCAGGTAAGGGAGTTGCTACTCTTCAATAAACCAGCTATATTTTTAAAATTTCAAGGAGTCCTGCCCTGGCTGGTTTGCTCAGTGGTTAGAGCGTCAGCCCGCAGACCAGAGACCCAGGTTCGGTTCCTGCTAAGGGCATGTACTCTCAAAAAAAAAAAAATACAAAAAAAACATTTCAAGGAGTCCTTTAAGGCTCATTCAGCTACCTCCTTACTATGAGACCTTTCCTAAATCCTCCAGATAGACGTGTTCTCTCCTCCTCTGCCTCCTTAGCCCTTGGTCTCACCCTCATGTTATTTTTTCTACCTGTTATCACATGATCCACTTGGATGTCTCATGGTCACCTCAAACATAACCTGTCTGAAACAACTCCAGTTAATCTGCTAGTTAATTAATCAATCAGTAGGTAGATACACATATTAAAATCCTGTTCTCTAAAATATGTATTTATTCGTGCGTTCATTCACCTTGTGGTAAGAACAGTTAACATGAGATCTTAACAAAGTTTTAAGTGCACAATACAGTATTGTTAACTATAGACACAATGTTGTACGCGATCTCTGTAACTTAACCATCTTGCGTAATGAAACTTTATACCCATCCCACATTCCCATTCTTGATTTTTCCAGGTCTCAGTAAATGGTACCACGCCTCATCGGCTGGTCACATTAGATATCTGGAAGCCATTCTTGATTCCTTCCTTACCTTCACTACCTGTGATTTCAAATCTAATCATCTAGCAAGACCTGATGTTTCTTCTTCCAAAATATATCTTGAGTCCTTCCACTTCTGTCCATCCCCACCACTGTCTGTCTCCGGGGTGACTATGTAATCTTCCGAGGCAATCCCCAACATGATCCACTCTGGCCCTGACCCACCTAGATTGGATTAACTTCCAAGATGATCAATTGGGTCATAGGCCTTGCCTGACCTGGACACCTCCCTCTCCATTTTTACCTGGAGTCACACTCCCCTTGTCTGCCCTCTAGCCATGCTGGTCTTCCCAACCAGCAGGTTCTTGCCCAAGCTGGAGCCCCTGCACAGACCACTATCCATCAGGTAGAGCCTCTTTTTCCCTGTCTCTTCACATAGCTAACTCCTCACCCTTCAGGACTTCACTTAAACATAATCTTTGACAAACCTTCCCCAACTATCCTAAGTAGATCTCTCCCCCATCCCCCACTCCTCTTCATCACTGTGCTGGTTTCATTGTCTTTATAACAACCAACACAGTTTGTGATTATGAATTTATTTATTTGGGTACTTGGGTTTTGTGTCTCCCCAACTAGACTGTAAGTTCCACCAGGGCAGGTACTAATGTATATCCGGGGGTTGGCGCATCTGGGATATCATTAAATATTTGATGAGTGAATCAATGATTCATGCATCTGTGTTCATGACTCATATCCCTGACTGGACTGGGGACAAGATGATGTCTTAGGCATCATCAAAACCCCGGCATTAGGAGGAGGGTGTCAAGGGAAAAAGGAGAAACATCTTTAACAAAAATAAATGAATTAATAAACAAACAAAAAAACCCAGTGGCAGACAACACAATGACTTGCACAGGGCAGGTACTCAATAGCTATCTGTTCATCTAACCCAAGTGAAAATAATACAGTTTTATAATCTATCAAAAACAGTTGTACAGAACAGTACAATTACTGCAAGAAATGGTAGGAAATGATTTACTTGGAAAGCAGGATGTGGGAAGATGTTATACACATCCTGGGGCAGAAAGTCTGGAAATGAAGACTTGGGTTTTTTAATTAGTTGATTTAAGGCGTCAATCATCAAGTTTATAAATCAACGAAGACTGAATGCATCCATTGCAGGGTGTAGGCCCCTGATATCCAGAGGGAGGAAATCCACACGCGCAGGGTGAGACTTGCCATGTTTTCTCACACTGAATCGCAGTGATTCAAGGGGCAATCAGACGCTTTCTCTGCAAATACGCGCCTGCCCTCCTCACCCCACTCCGCTCACTGTGCACTGACATGCTCACCCCGAGTTAAATAAACAACATTAGGCTCATACTGCCTGTCTTCTCAATTCATGTTTCCATTGTTGAGGACTGGGGCTATATCTAAAGGAATATCCAAAATTGCACAGGAAGCTGGGGTGCACCGGTTCCCCGGTGTCCAATTCCTGGCTGTTTCTGCAACACGGGTTTCTCGGCTTTTCCAAAGTTCACGTCGCGCCCCTTGCTTTTATGAAAGACCTACATTGGTTCCTGTTTTCGCGTATTTTTGCTTTTACGGAAAAGGGCGAAAAGCAAAATCAGTATTCAAGGTTCATTTTGCAGCGAGCTGTTGGAGGCTTCGCGAGCCCCTGCCACGGAGAGCGCCCCGCCGAGCCCTTCCCGGGGACCCCAGGTAGCATCTCGGCATCAGGCCGCTGGAGCTCCGAACTGGGTGAGCATCGGTCTGTGCTTCGCCTCCATTTATTTGTGCACTTGTTAGCAGGATGCGTCTTAAGGTATCAGAAAAGTCTAAGACAGCTCATAAGGCCATTACGCTTACATAAAACTGGGGTAATTAAGAGCATTTGGTATAATTTGGTAGATTATTCTGAGGGTCTGGGAATGCTCAAAAATTTTCCGTATAAATTAATGGTAATTGTTTCTTTGCTTTCTGCCATTCTGGCTCACAGAAGGCTCCACGGGGACTCTGCTTTCGGATAGGCGAGGAAACCTGAACCAGGGTACTGCCTCACATTCCCCACTGCACCCCGGGACCTTGTTTCCACGGCTTCCCCCTTCTCATTTCTTGTATAAGTATGGCCTCTATTCCATTTGTGTTCAAATTGTCCTAAAATGGTTGTTTCTAACCTCGAGTGCATGGCAGCCCCTGAAGCCTCATGCAGAAATTTGCATCTGTAGTCACACGAACACCTGTGTCTGTGTTATCTAATACGGCAGCCACCGGCCACCTGTGGCTGCTGAACACTTGAAATGTGACTAAGGAGACGAAGGAACTAAGCTTTGTATTCCGTCTAATTTTAACTAATTAGGATTTAGATTTAAATAGCCACGTGTGGCTAGTGGCTACCGTAATGGAGAGCAGAGACCCAGAGAATCACTCAAAGATTGAATCAGTAAGTCAGGACCCCTATTAGCAGCCAGGTACACTGTGCATGTATTACCTGGAAACCTCTCTCCCTCTCCCAGGAGTTTATTACCAAGGTCACCTTCATAGAGGAGCCCAATAATGCTAGGTTGTGAGAGGCTCAGGGTGGGAAGATGGGAGAGAAAAATATAGAAGTAACAAGATGCGTTTGGGCAGGAAGAACACTGGCTGACGGGGCACCTGGTAGGTGGTCCCTGCAAAGGGGAGAGGTGGGCAAAGCCTGGGGCTTTGAAGACCCTTGCTACAAAGTCCAACACTGATTCTGACTTCTTCCTTGAAGCTTCAGAGAAAAAGTCATTTTTGCCCACCTGGTGAGAACCCTAGAGTAAAGCATCTAGAAAAGATTTCAACAATTTTCCAAACTGTTGATGTAAGTAAGACTTTTTGTCTTAGGCATTCAGCCCATTATTATCTGAAATAGCCAAAGTTTTTGGAAGAGAAAGTGAAATGGAATTATTAAGAATAAAGATCTTGCTCTGGCCAGTTTGACTCAGCGATTAGAGTGTCAGCCCTTGGACCAAAGGGTCTCGGGTTCGATTCCTGGTCAAGGGCACATACCTGGATTGCAGGTTTGATCCCTGGTTCCTGTCGGGGTTGTGCAGGAGGCAACCAATTAATGTGCCTCTTTCACATCGATGTCTCTCTCTCTCTCTCTCTCTCTCTCTCCCCTTCCCTTCCACTCTATCTAAAAAAAAATCAATGGAAAAAGATTCTCAAGTGAGATTAACAACAACAACAAAAGGAGCAAAGATCTCAGTGGCATACTTTCCAGACTCTAGTGTGAGCACTTGCAAGGGGAACAGAGTCCACTGTAGGATGGGGAAGAGGCCTACAAACCCAGGGCCCGAGGAACAAGCACTGTACTTACCCATAAATGTGAAATTGAACGAGTTACTGTATTTCCAACAGTTGGAAACTTTGGCTTTGCATTTGTAGGGCCCCAAATCCTGGGCTTCTGAGATGCTTAGATTAAAAATCACAGGTTCACCTGTGCTATTCTGGGTTCTTATGTGTTTCTCACTCCGAAACAAAACATAGGTGATGTGTAGTGATTTGTTCTGGTTGGAACAGATGAGGGATACATTTTGACCCTTCATGACTTCATTTGTTTTTGAGTCCAAAGTTGGAGAAATGAATTCTGGAAAACAAAATAACGCAAGAGAAACTTTTTGTTAATGTTCCTTGATAACTCAGTGGTCACCTGGCCACATTTTGTGGATCAAGGGGGTGGAGACACCGTTCGTGGCAAACTTTCCTAAGGGACATTTCTTGCCTACACAGCCAGGCTGGCCAGTGTGTGAGGAAGCCTCAGGGCCTGCAGAGGCCCCTCCCAATGAGAGATGATGGCCTTGACAAGCTCTTTTGTCCTTGCTGTCTCTCCAGCCAGTAGGAGCCTGAAGTGGACTCTTTAAAGACTGGCTATGCTGACTTAGAAATATTAAAGTTCCAGGTTTTATGGCCAAATGTTATGTCTGGTAGCTTGTTTTGTCCATTATTTATTTTACATTTCTTATTTTGGAAAAGAAGAACTTTCAAGGTAATAGTAGAGAAGAGAATATAATGATCCCCCACAGACCTATCACCTGGCTTCAACAACGATCAACTCATGATCCATCCTGTGTTACCTGCACCCCCACCTCTTGCCATTATTTTAGAGCAAACCCTAGACCGCATGTTACTGCATCCACAAACTGGAGTATTGAGGAAGAGAAAAGCAGCCCCTGACAGCTAGGCACTGGCCTGGCTAGGAGCTGACCTGTCACTCACAACTAGAATACCAATACCAGACAAAGCCACTCTGTGACCATTTTGGATCAAGACAAAAACAAAATGACTCCATAATCATATCTGGACACAGGTAAAGACATGGACATTGTCTGAAGCACAAAAGTGGCCAAGCATCCCCCGAAACCGACCAATAAGAGTGACTGCTGTGTCCGGCCGCTGTGGTTCAGTGGTTGAGCATCAGCCCATGCACCACGAGGTTGCCGGTTCAATTCCTGGTCAGGACACATGCTCAGGTTGTGGGCCCGATCCGCACTGGGGGGCATGCAGGAGGCGGCCAATCGATGTTCTCTCTCATTAATGTTTCTAGCTCTCTCTCCCTCTCACTTCCTCTCTCTCTCTAACCAATACAGAAAAAAAAAATTTTTTAAAATAAAGAGTAACTGCTACTTGGTTATCAGTCATAGCGTTTGCTTTGTTGTTTTTGCCTTTAGACAAGAGTTAAAATACCCAACCATGTCGTCATTTCCACTTCGTAATAGGATCCACTCCAAAGCAGAGCCTGCTGCTTTGAATCTTCCTCCAAATCACCTAACACAGATCCAAATCTCATCATAAGACCTTTTTAACATCCTCTTGCTGAGACATCCCAGATACATTTTCTCCCCAAACCCAGCTTTACTCAATGACATGAGTATCCCTGGTGGTCTTTGGCTGGAGGATATTGGTAATTTGTATCTCTAAAAGATAAGGGCTCTTTTATAAATGTAACAATTATCATTAGCACATCAAAAAAAAAAAAAAAAATTAACAATATTTTATCTCTGAGTCTCAGGAAAGATACTCCAACTTCCTCCCTAAAATCATTTCATTTTAAATGGCAGGTAATGGAAAAGACTTTACTCTGGTTATTCATCTAAAAGCATAGAAAAACATATTCACGAAAACTCATGTTTAGAGCCGACCGCCCACTGTTCTGGTGAAGACAGATTTAGGACAAGGGAGTAGTAAACAAAACTTACTGTTTTTTTTTCTCATCGTCTCACGATTCAGTTCTGCTTTTAGAGTCGAAAGAGAGAAAAGAAACACAAGAAGACTCTTTTTCCACATCACAGTTCGGTTTCAAAATGCGAGTGTTTGATGTGACAGAAGAAAAAACGCTCCAGTTTGTCTGTTCATGTGGCTCCACATTCTCCCAAATGAAGTCGAAGACGAGGCCAGAGGAAGTGTAGTGGCACCACAGATGTGAGTCACTTAGAGGACCTACCTCTTCTTTTTTGACTTCCCTCTTTTTTTTTTTTTTTTGTATGTGCCCCTAGCAGGAACTGAACCTGGGACTCTCTGGTCCACAGGACTTTCCTCTTTTGACCAAGTTAAAGAGATCACAGATGTCTGCTCAAGCCTGACATAATATGACTGGTTGGTTTGACCAACCAGTGTTCCTCAATGACTTCTTGTAAGAAGAGATGTCGGTTTCTCTAACTCAGGAGGGATGGGAAGTTGAACAGTGGGGAAAAGAAAGTTAAAAATAATGACTGTTGATGGTCTTTGTGTGAACCCACCTGATCACCACTCTCTGGATTTGACCTCTATCAAAAGGAACTTCAGCCCTGGCCGGTTTGACTCAGTGGTTAAAGCGTTGGCCCGAGGACCAGAGAGTCCCGGGTTTGGTTCCCGCTAAGGGCACGTACCTCAGTTGCAGTTTGTCCCTGGCCCCGGTTGGGGTCATGTGGGTGGCAACCACTTGATGTGTCTCTCTCACATCGATGTTTCTCTCTCTCTCTTCCTCCTTCTCTCCCTCCCGCTCTATCTGAAGATAAATGCAAAAATGTCCTCGGGTGAGGATAAAAATAAATATAAGGAACTTCATGGAAGGTTGCTTTGATCTTGGGAAGCAAATATTGACAGTCTAGAGCAGACACCACAAGCATGGCATCAGAAATGCCTGATTTTATTCAATGTAGACTCCTAGCCCCTCTCTGGACTTACTGGGGATGAAACCTGGGACTCTGAATTTTAACAAGGGCCCTAGCTATCTCAGTCTCTAAATTACATCCCGGAATGTACTGCGGTTCACTTCTGCCTGACCCAGAATTCCCCTGGCTCTGTGAAGTGTATGCAGATACAACCACAGTCTGGTGTGGGGTGTGGGGAGTGCTAAGGGGCTCACCAAATGGAGGGAACTGTGACTGGGCCACTCGGGTTACTGATCTTGTTGCCGCCGAGGGCTGGCCCTGCAGGTCTCACACATTCTTGTGCGCAGATGCCCTCTCTCGGTGGAGCCAGGCCCCTCCCTGGGTACAGGATCCTCCAGAACATTATCTAACCTCTAGTATCTAGTCATCCCAGGTGTTTCTTGCTTGGCTGCTGGGGCCCAGCCTATAGTGGTCATTCATTCCCAGTCCCACACCGAGCCACGGCTGGGTCTGAGCAGAGCCAGGGCCTACTGCTGTCACCCCCACTTCCTCCCTGGCTGGCCACTACTGTCTGGAAGCAAGTCCTCTGATGTAGCCCTCAGTTTGTAAAAGGTCTTAATTCCTTTCTGACAGTCAGTTACTTCTCAGGCGCCCACTCTTCTAAAAAAGACGGCACTCAGTGATTGACGGTGATTTTCCTACTGTGGTATTGTTGGCAACTTCTTTCACTAAAGAAAAGGAAGTTTGAGCTCTGGTATGAGGATGTTGGGAGCCCTGGCTGGTGGGCTCAGTGGTTAGAGCGTTGGCCTGAAGACCAAAGGGTGGTGGGTTGGATTCCTGGTCAAGGGAACATACCTGGGTTGCAGGTTCAATCCCCCACCCCAGTCTGGGCTCATGTGGGAGGCAACCAAGCAATGTCTCTCTCTCCCCCTCCCTCCCTTCCACTCTCTCTAAAAATCAATGGAAAAAATATCCTCGAGTGAAGATTAACAATAACAGCAAAAAAGGATGACCCTGGGAAAGCCAGAATTTCTGCTCAGGCAGTTGGAGGTTTTGTTTTTGACACTTTACCAACCAGCATCTCACCCATCCTTGCCTAGGCACAGCGGTCGTGCCCCTGAGAGCGGTCGTGCCGGGGAAGACTGGGGCCTTGCAGAAAAGCTGAGGTGGCTGGGGCATTTGCGTGCGTGTGGAATTTTTCAGCTGGGAGACTTGCAGACCACAACTCGAACACAAATATAGCCAAGGACACCAGAGGAAGTGCTACTTACAGCTGTTAGTGAATGTGGCTAGGGCCACTTCAGTGAGGCCCCAGGAAAAGGAACATAATTTGTCAAAGGTTACACAATAAATCAGAAGTGACATCTGAAATGGAAAATGACAAAGTTCATCCATGGACTTGGCACATTCCTTGGGATCCAAATCATGCCGAATTCACATTGTCATGTTCCACAGTAAATCATCATATTGATAAGACTAGTAAGAAGAAATTAGTTATACAAACAGGAAAGGTGTTGTATTCCTTTTTGTTGTCTAAGAGTTTGACACTGACAATCTCATTTCATCCTTACAAAACAGTTAGGTGTTATTTAAAATATTTAACAACCTGGCTGGTGTGCCTCAGTGGATTGAGCGTCATTCCATGGACTGAGAGGTTCCGGTTTGACTCCCGGTCAGGGCACATAAGCTATATTGCAAACCTACTTAACAAGTGATATCCATTTTCCTGCAAATTATTCATGGAATCATTCTCATAATTTCCAAAATTTTGTTGATGTTTAGAAATGGTTGGTGTAGTCTTTTGAGACAGGGCTCACTGTCTGGGATGATTTGTTACGGGAGCTGCCTTGAACTTTTCCAATGAATTTCTTGAAGTATGTGGCCATTGGATAATGTGTAGTCCCAATAAATAGAAAATTTCCCTTCATGTCAATGATATTGTTGATGGTGTTAAATCCTCAACACCTGATGAACAATAACGATAAAATTTAAAAGGGTCCCAGCCTTGCCCTGGCCAGTTTGGCTCAGCGGTTAGAGCGTCGGCCTGCGGTCCAGAGAGACCCGGGTTCGGTTCCCGCTAAGGGCACGTACCTCAGTTGCAGTTTGTTCCCGGCCCTGGTTGGGTATGTGGGAGGCAGCCACTTGATGTGTCCCTTTCACATCGGTGTTTCTCTCTCTCCCTCTCTCTCCCTCCCACTCTATCTGAACAAAAAATAGAAAAATGTTCTCGGGTGAGGATGAAAAAAAGAAAAAAATCCCAGCCTTGCCCTGGCTGGTGTGCTCAGTGGTTAGAGCGTTGGCCTTTGCACCAAAGGGTTGAGGGTTCAATTCCTGGTCAAGGGCACATACCTGGGTTATAGTTCTATCCCTGGCCCAGTTGGGGTCGTGTGGGAGGCAATCAATAGATGTGTCTCTCTCACATCGATGTTTCTCTCTCTCCTTGCCTCCTTTCCACTCTCTCTAAAAATCAATGAAAAAAATATCCTCAGGTGAGGATTAACCACACACACAAACACAAAAGAAATAAATAAAATTGTCCTAGCCTTTATGATGCTGCTTGAAAATGTTCTATATCCAATATTCCTATTATCTTATATTTCTACATCATTTAATGCACTAGCTTAATTTTATTTACCCTTCCACAGAATTTTGCAAATACCACTTGGTAAAGTATACGGTTTTAATAAATATAAATGACTTTAGAATTTATTTATTTTCACTTTTGTCCTCAAGCAACAAATGTATTTTCATATAATAATTTATTTAAAAGATTATAGTTTTTCTCTTGGAATTGATACTTTATTTTGTTTTGTTGCAAGCAGCATGACATAATTTCTTCTTCTTCTTCTTTTTAAAATATTTTTTTAAATTCAATTTTTTAAGGAAGGGAAAGGGAGAGAGAGATAGAAACATTGACTAACTGTCTCCTACACACCTCCTACCCGGGTATGTGCCCTGCCCAGGAATCAAACTGGTGACCTCCTGGTGGTTAGAAGGACACTCAACCAACTGAGTCACACCAGCTGGGCTAATTTCTTCATCTTTATATAGCACCTTCCACTTTTCTTTCATTCATCAAATTCATCTTGTAAATCTAAAAGTATTAAAATCTCTGTTACAATATCACTACTTAAGGATAAAGCTCCCTAAAATGTTTCATTTTCCAAAGATTTTACTATTTCTCTTAAAATAAACATTCAAGACTTCAGAGTTTCTGCCCTGGCCGGTGTGGCTCCGGTATTTGGGCATCATCCCCTGCACCAAAAGTTTGCCAGGTCAATTCCCGGTCAGGGCACATGCCTGGGTTTCAGGTTCCATACCCAGTAGGGAGCAGGCAGGAGGTAGCCAATTGGTGTTTCTCTTTCCCTCTCCCTTAAAAAAAAAAAATTGATAAAAACATATTTAAAAAATAAAAGACTTCAGAGTTTCCAAACTCTGCAGCTGCAGTATCACAACTCTCCATGGGGTCCACGAGCCTCCCATTGATGATCTCAGTTGCCAAGCCTTGAGTCTATTACCGCTCCGCTCCCTCTAATGTTTATGTGACAAAAGATGGTAAATTAGATGTTTATCGGGAAAATACTTTCAATGATTGACACGATTCACATCTTTAATCACACCCCCTAGAGATGGAGGTTGGACACCACTGGTCTGAGGAAGGATCCTGAGCCACTGAGCCAGAGATGGAATTCTTAAGTATGTGACTTATTGGGAGAGTGATTGAAAGTGAAAGAGAGGGACTGGTGTGCAGGACGGGACAGGGGGAGAAACTAAGCAAAGATTAGGGTTTAGCTAATGCTGGCCCACTGCCTGCTCCCAGGGGGAGAGCTGGGGTGTGAGCTGGGGTGTTTGGTCCCTCTCGGGGCAAGGGAGCTGGGCCTTTACATTCCCCTCATCATTCAGTCACTGGTCATGGGCCTGGAGGGCACATACACAGATCCACCCAGAAATCTCTGAACAAGCCATCCTGCAGAGAGGATGGGCCACTCTGTCCCTAGAGGAGGGGACCAGGGCCTGCCCAACAGCACTCTCCCACCACCCAACGACAGGGTCTAGAAACAGTTTCTGAAGTCTTGGCTGAAACCCAGATTTCCTCTCTGCTCTGTTCCAGGACTCCTGCTGTGTACACAATCCAGCAAGGTTTCCATGAAACATCACTGAAGCCATATCTCCAGCACTGACAATAAAATTTAGATACAGTATTTCAGGTGTTCCTTCACCTTTAAGAGATGAACAAAAACCAACAAGCTATTTTCAAAGTCTTGAATTTTACATTTTAAGTAATTTCCAAATGCACGTTATGGAAATAGTTGAAGTTTTAGAAAAAGTAATGAAAATTTTATTG